TTTTATTATTATTTTTCATAAGACAGATGTACAAACATATAATATTTATATTTTAATATTTTAAATAATATGATTTATATTAAATGATTAGTTTTAAATTATTATTTTAGGAAATTTGTCTTTCTTATTATTATTCTTCAAAAAGGTAGATGCACAAACATAGTTTATGAATTCCATTAAGAGGAAACATCGTGTATGAATCCCGAATCTAAAAGTTATGTGATGATAGTGCATAAGGAGGCAGTGTTTGTCCCTAATAGGACTGGTGATGGTGCAGAAGAGCGGCGTAATATAAAATGGAAGCCCTTAGATTAGCAATTTTATAAGTTCAATGTGGATGGAGCTCCTTTTACTCGGCAAAATAGCTGTGGAATGGGTGCTGTAGGAATGAAAGGGGTAAAGTAGTGGTTGTTATGAGACATAAAGGGCAGGGGTCATTATCAGGAGATAAAGTGGAGGTATGTAGTCTATGGAAAGTGGAGGTATGTAGTTTTCTATGGAAGGCCATTCAGTGGGCATATGAAGGGGGTTTTAGAAATCTGATTGTGGAAAGTGATTGTGTAGAATTAGGTAATTAATAAAGTTAATAGTTCGATTTTGACATATAATATAAAGTTAAGAGATATTTTATATGATTGTAGAGTGTTGTTATCTCAGTTTCACTCAAGTGCAATACGTTAAAAGGAAGGGTAACAGGATAGCTTATGAGTTAACTTGAACGACAGCCTATGTCAAAGAGGATGAGTGATTGTTGGGGACAGTAACACCAGATACCATCATGTATTATGGGTCGGAAGATATGATAGATATGGAGTTTGAATAAAAGTTTAAAAAATTCATATAAAAAAAAGAAAGTTACGCCATGCCCCTGCCCTTTCGCGCCACCTTGAAAGTGCAGTTATTTTTTTTCTGATGTGTTTGAAGTTCGAATCCTATCATTGTCACTTTGTAAAAAAAAAAAAAAAAATTACGCCATAGACGAAAATTCAATAACAATATGTAGACCTATCAAATATCAATTACGAAAAGGGAAGTGACATCTGGTCTGAAGGAATTTTTTGCTAGTGTCTCAAGAAAATTCAATAAAGGGCAGTGGTATCTGGTCTAAAAGATAACAGCGAAGATTGCGGATGGATATTGTCACCATAAAATATATTAAAGGTATTAATATTTAAGTTTTTAAAATAATATTTA